CTCTTGATGACATGGAATTACCTCCAGGGCAGAATGTGGCAATTATTTAGTGAGAGCCACACAAGAATATTACTCTAGAATTGACAGAAACAAGAAACTCTGGTGAGAGGAGGGGGCTGATGTAAAGAATTATCTAGTTAGGGGGCTGGCTAGAATTAAATAAGGAACTAGGATTAATAAATATCATCTTGCCTCACACCCTACTCCCTCCTAAGAGCTCTGCTTCCAAAATCTTTCCATCTTTCTTAGATCAGATTCTCAAGGGTCTACAAATCCTCTGGGGAGCAGCTTCGTGGGCTCTGAAGGTAGCACTTGAGTTCCATTTGGAAGGTCTGACACTGACAGTTGTCTTAACAGCTATGCAAGCACTTTTTGGCCATGTCTTTTGCCATCACATTTGTGCCTACACCCTGAGAATATTCTCTGCCAATGGAACGTCCTACTTGCCTGCTGAGGTGGGGATAAACTTGGTGATGGAGTAGGGGTGGGTGGTTCACCATTTCTGGAAAAAAAATGACCCAATGCATATATACATATGCACACACACACACCCACAAATACACCTCAGGCATCTAGACTCATCACCAATGCACCAAAGAAGTGTTCTGAACTATCCTCTCATATTTTAAATATTCTCCAAGACATCACCATTCTTGCCTTTATAAACGCACCTCTGACCTATTCCTTCTGCTTCGCCTATATCTCATTACTCTCTTTCTGGCCTTGTCTCTCCTCCCAGACAACTTTACATGGTGCCCTGACTTAACGCCAACTCCACTGTTGGCATAAGCACTTTGCTTCTTGAATCAAACTGCTTTGAGCATCTAAACAACATTTCCATCAGGGTCTCCAGGAAGGCTTGTTTTTCCATCTCACAACGGAGAACAGATGAGGCAAAAGTTGGCCACTTCCAGGCCACCTTCTTACACCCTATATTTTCTTATTTTTGTGTAGGCAAGAGCTTCTTACAATTATAGAGGTTATTTTAATGTATTATTTAAGTGTAAGAACTTTTTCCACTATCATGGAACCCCCAGCTTTAAAACAGAATAAGGAGATGCTGCTGCAGATGCATCAGAGGTGAGGCACGGCAGCCTGCCCAGATCAGTCACCCTTCCCTGCCCCCGCAGGCACTCAGCCTTTTCTGACCCATGTGTCCTTGCTCTAACCTAATGCAGCATCAGGATCGCCCATACAACTCAGGGGCTCCTGCCCACACCGACCAAATTGACACCTCCACAGGTGAGTGACAGCAGAGACAATAATTAATATTGCATCACCATCTATTTATATTTTGTGGGCTCCCGTATTATTCCACTAATGATAAATCAGCAGACTATGTTCCTACTGTCCAAGAGGTTCATTGTAATGGGGCTGAACTTGAGTGAAGTTCTCAGTCTCTTATCTCTTTCAGCCAGGGGCCATGAGAGACAGCAAACTCTCAGACCCAAGTAGAAAATATGTAAAATCACAGTCTAAATGTCTAATGACTGGGAAGAACCTATGGTGTTGCAAGATGAGGGTGCTCGGAACCTATTCCAACTCAGCTTTCTCAGAAGCAGCCGGTCCAGTGAAAACGACAGAGATGTTGGAGTCAGACAGACCAGGATGAGCTTGTCATAGTTACTTACACTTTAGCTCTCAACTTTCCCATCTGTTCGTTGGGTACATAAATACTTTCAGTGAACTATTTAGATATTTAAATTAGAAATGTGCAGAGCACTAGCAGAGTGTCTGGCATTTGCTGGGCTCGTAGGAAATGCTTACTCTCTCCTCGAAGTATGGAGCTTAAATCTCAAGAGATCCCCTTAGGAATGTATGAAGTTACATGAGGGCGCTGTTATTGTTCAGTCGCCAAGTCGTGTCTGACTCTGCTACTCCATGGACTGCAACACAACAGTTCTCTCTGTCCCTCACCATCTGCTGCCATATCCCGGAGTCTGCCCAAGTTCATGGCCATTGAATCGGTGACGCTATCTAACCATCTTATCCTCTGCCACCCTTCAGGATCACTGCCTTGTCATGGCGAAGGGGCATGTGTAACTCAATGAAGCTAAAAGCCATGCCATGCAGGGCCACCCAAGACAGACGGGTCATAGTGAAGAGTTCTGACAAAACGTGGTCCACTGGAGGAGTGAATGGCAAACCGCTCCCGTATTCTCACCGCAAGAACCCTATCAATAGTATTAAGTGACAGAAAGATGTGACGCCAAAGTATGAACCCTCCAGGTGGAAAGGTGCCCAATATGCTGCTGGGAAAGAACAGAGGGCAATCACCAATAGCTCCAGAAGGAACCAAGCTGCTCGGCCGAAGCAGAAACAATGCTCTGTTGTGAATGTGTCTGGTGCTGAAAGTAAAGTGCGATGTTGTAAAGAACCATACTGCATAGGAACCTGGAATGTTAGGTTCATGAATCAAGGTAAATTGGACGTGATCAAGCAGGAAATGGCAAGAGTCAACATAAGGGTGATGAGAGAACTAATTCTCCACGTTTCAAAAGACAAAGTAGGGAAGGGGAGGAGTGATGCTGGACAAGTTATAGGAAAATGGAAGCATAATAATGACTCTTCACATTTGTTCATTTTTAACCATGTCCCAGTCACTAGACTAAGAATTTAACTTGCATCACCTCATTTAATCCTCACAAAACTCCACCAAATACCCATCTTCACAAATACTCTTCTTTGCAGAGGAGGGAACTGAGCCTCCTAAGGCTGAGAAGTAACTTGGCCAAGGCCATTACAGTAAAGCAAATTGCTGGACCTCAGACAAAGCCAGTGTCATTCCAAAACAAGTCAACTACAACCATCTTCAGAAAAGAGACGCTTAACAGTGTGTTGAATTTTGGATTATAGAAAGTCGCTCAATTGTGTCCAACTCTTTGCGATCCCATGGATTATACAGTCCATGGTATTCTCCAGGCCAGAATACTGGAGTGGGTAGCCATTGCCTTCTCCAGAGGATCTTTCCAACCCAGGGATCAAACCCAGGTCTCCCACATTGCAGGGGGATTCTTTACCAGCTGAGCTCCTAGGGAAGCCCATAATATCTTACAGGGACAGGGAAAGCCAAGCTCAATTCTGGAAGGCAATTGGAGATGTGAATGTTTCTTGGAAGAGCAAGATTGTAAAGTTGTAATGAAAAAAAAAAAAAGACAGGCAAACAGATCTGGATCTTCTAGGACAGTCTTCAACCCCTGTCCTTCCATACCAATACTTAAAAAGCCAAGTGCCCAGAATAATAATTGAGGGGAAACCCATTGGAAAAAGCTGTGACTTGGTCTTGCCTGGGAATTCATGAGTCTCTTGACACAAAGGTCACCCTGCCACCCACCCGGCCTAATAATAGCCCTAGGCAGACTAAGTCCCACAGCCTCTAGATCCAGAAATGGCAGAAGAATAGTCAAGAGTTGGAGTGATGATCAAAGTATTACTAATGACAGTTGAGGGAAGCAGTGGAACTTCATTAGAGGTGGGGGTTTTCATCAGTTTCTCAATCCCATTCTTCATAAGCAACTGAGAGTGTCTCAAGAAAATGTAAAATACTAATCAATCAGATTCTGCTCCTAAATGCCTTCCAGATAGAAACTAGAAATTCTGGACTTGCTCATGCCTCTGGAAAGAATGCACCTAGAAACCTCCTGGAAATGATACCTGATCATTGACAAGCACAACCGCTGGGACTATACAAATAACCTTATTTGCATAAATAAATTATTCATTTAATCCATTCAAAACATATGCACCTGCACATTGGTGGAATGTCAAGAAAGAAGCCCTTGGAATTATTTATGAATAATTCCTTATTCGGGGGAAATCCAAATGAAATCTCCCCACATGTATCGTGGCATGTCTATGATTTTTCTCCCCTTTCTTGCCCCCTCGCAACTCCATTCTTAGCAACCACATGTTGAGTACAGGGTTTGGAATTAGTCAATTTGTCTTCCTGGAGAAGGACAGTATACCAAATACCTATTTTGAGACCTTGTTTCTTTTATGACTGCGCGCCAGGAAAGTTTTATGAGAATCCTGATTTAAGGTTGGAGGTTAATAGCTCTGAAATTCTGAGAACCAAAAGATAATTGTGTAGGTGGGTATACAGTAAAACTGAAATAAGGAACTCCTCTGTAAACTGAACCAAAAATCTGCAGAGTCGGTTCATCTGAAAACTTCTCTTGGGAGGACAGCCCCAATAGACTGGCCACAGTCTGCCCACTTCCTTACGGTGGAAAGTAAGGAGGCCCTCGAACTCTGTTCTGTTGCAAAGAATGGGAAATGGAGGGCAGAGGACAGAGCACCCTGACCAGGTGAGCATCCAAAAGGGGCATGGTCAGCTTGCCATAGACATTCTCCATCAACACCAAAACCAGATGGTTCAGGGACTTTCTCCATCAGCACCAAAAGACTGCAAAGTCTGACCAAGGTGTGTCACCCTCAAGTTCACCTATTTGTGGATCTCCAGGAATTGCCAGACTCAGTAGAGCAGAAAACCTCAGGAAGTCCAAACTTAGCTCTCACAATCCTACGTGGTTGTGGTGGAGGAAGGGAGCCCTTGGCAAATTTCTGATTTTTGCCAATCCATTTTCTTTTCAGTTGGCAGGTCACCTTAACTTGGATGCTGAATGCACAGTTGGGAAAAATAGGCTTGTTAGGGGATGGGTCAAGGCTCTGTGAACATGAGCCTTGGCTGGGGGTAACATTCTTTGAACAACCAGGTAAGACGAGCCTAGGAAGCCATAGCACTATGCTGCCATGGACTCAATTGTTGGGCATCAAGGCCCACCATGGGTCATGCCCAGCCCATGGCCTGACCCCCAGCGGACAACTCTTTGTTCTAACCCCTCTCCACTCCTCAGACCTGTTGGCAGCAAGCAGTAGGTGGTAGGGCAGAGGAAAAGAAGGTAAACAGAGACCAAGAAGGAAAGAGACAGGCAAAGAGCAGTTACTCTGAGCTTCATTCTGAAGCCCTTAGAGAAACTGACTTGCCCCCCAAAACTCACCTTGGTAATTTTCCTTGCCATTCTAGTCGCAACTGAACCAGAACTGTATTTACACGCCACCATTCTTCATGTTTGCCGCCTTCTCAGAAAGCAACTAGATCATTCTGCTGCTCAGAAATCTTTACCAGGATTTCCCTGGTGATCCAGTTGTTAAGAATCTGCCTGCCGATGCAGGGGACACAGGTTCAATCCCGGGAAGATCCAATATTCTACCGAGCAACTAAACCTGGACACCCCAACTACTGAGTCCGCCTGCCTGGATCCCATGCTCCACAGTGAGAAGCCCATGCACCCCAACTAGAGGACAGACCCTGCTCACCACGGCTAGAGAAAGCCCACATACAGCAGTGAAGATCCAGGGCAGACAAAAAAAGTCTTTACCAGTTTCCCCATCCCCTGGAGCTGTGTCCCTCAAAGGATGACAATATGATTTTTTTTTTTGACAAGATGACTTTTAAGCAAAAATAATAATTTCTATTTTAATAATTATATGTTTTCATGTGAAAACTAACTTAGTAAAGTAAAAGAGAGTCAGTGTAAGTCAAAATGAAAGTTATTAAGCAAATAATATGAACAGGTACATAGACATAGTGAAAAATAGAGATAATAAAATTTGAATGATTAAAATTTAGAAAATAAAGGCTCAAAGGTAGACAGTCCCAACACTCTGAGGGCACACCGTTACCCATCCCCATCACTTGGTCTCCACCCATGTCCTCAGTTCCATAGTCTCCAGCTGCACGTCTGATATACATCCCAGACATGATGGACCCCCCATGGCTTCTGCACATGGCCACGTGCTTCTCTATTTCCTGCCAACCCACCACGTGGACCTTTCTGCATCTTTGCCCAGCAGAACCCAACCCATTTTTCTCCACTCAGGCTCCCCCAATTGCTTCATTAGAATCTGTGCTCCCAAAGGATTTGTTTGTACTTGGAACCATTCAGTAGTCAACAGATGTTTACTGAGTTTGTGCCATGGGCCAGGCACCGTACCAGGAAATGGGGATTTAGCCACAGGAGGGAAAAAATAAAAGATAAAAATTCCCGCTATCATGGAACACAGGTTCTAATGAAGCAAGACTTCAGTACATTTCCTAGTCTGCCATGTGGGGCCATTTGGGGTTCTGTGTTTCCCCAGCCAGCTTGGGTAACTCAGGCAGACAGGGTCTACATTGCCTATCCCCAGAAAGGCTTAACGTACTTCTCTCAAGTATCAGGGCGCTGAGTCGGTGAAACTCCAAAGCTGGGGCTCGGGTGTCTAGAAGCGATGGCATAACCCACATACCCTGTGTGTCTATGGTGCTTTAGAAACTGTTTCCTCTGTGTATCTCCTTAGATGCTCCCCAAATCCCTGGGACGTGTGATGCATACAAGATGGTTGAAATGATATACCTCCCCGCTTGGTTTGGCATCTATCCAGAGGTCATTCAGTGACTGCATGGTCGACAGGGGTCTGAGGTCACATGCATGGTTCCCAGTGGGTCCTCTGGGTCCTGCACACTCTCCTCCAGGCTTAGGGGAGGCACCTCCAGGCACAGACAGCTCTAATTCCCTCTGGGAATCAAACCCACAGAAGGAGCATCTTCCTGGCTCAAGACCCTGTAGTGACCTCAGGAAAGAGGAGGGTGCCCGAGAACACTGTCTGGAGAGGAAGTAGCCGCAGCCATCTTCCCAGAAAGAAGAGGTGCAAAGTTATTCCTGCTGCTCTCTCTCTCTCTCTCTGCATCACTCTCCTCTCCTCTCTCTCAGTCTGACTCTTTCTCAGAATCACTGCTCAATCTTGTCAGGGAGGCAGCATATAGGAACCCAAGTCATGCCAGACTTCCCTGGTTTTAGCGATGAATGCCCCACCTCCCAGGAAACGCCATGGTCCAGGAAATTTCTGGTAAACCAAGAAGGTTGGCCAGTCCACCAGCGTGTCACGAAGACTGTGCTCCAATCTGATCTTCCCAACAGCTGTGGGTCCTTGGGCACTTACCTACCACCTCTGCGTCCCCATGCTCTCATCGGCAAATGGAGACATACCATCCCCCAGCACTAGAGAGGATTAAAGAGGTATTATATGTTTAGGGAGCACACCAGTGCACCATAAATGGTGGCTGGTATTAATGCCTTTGGAGCCTGGACTGAGACCTGGAGTTGAACCCAAGGTCCTATGAACTGGTCTCTTAGACTACAAGAAGATCCAACCAGTCCATCCTAAAGGAAATCAGTCCTGAATATTCATTGGAAGGACTGGTGCTGAAGCTGAAACTCCAGTACTTTGGCCACCTGATGTGAAGAACTGACTCATTTGAAAAGACCCTGATGTTGGGAAAGATTGAAGGTGGAAAAAGAAGGGGACAACAGAGGATGAGATGGTTGGATGGCATCACCGCCTCAATGGACATGAGTTTGAGTAAACTCCGGGAGCTGGTGATGGACAGGGAGGCCTGACGAGCTGCAGTCCATGGGGTCACAAAGAGTCGGACATGACTGAGTGACTGAACTCAACTGAACTGATGAGCTGGTTAATGCTTGCCAAGTGGCTATTTTAGAGGTGGCTGTGCCAGGGATCAGGTGGCCACAAGGACATAGTCTCACCAGGGCCTCCAACTGGCAAGAAACAAGAGATTTGCTAGCAAAGTGCTGTAAATCAACCCACTTCTGGCCTTATTATTTTTATTAAGTACTTATTGTATGCCAGAAACTAAGTACTTTATTTACATACAATTTCTTATTTAATCTTCACAACAGCCCCTCAGTGTAGTATTATAATCCCCCATTTCAATGATGAGGAACCTGAGGCTGAGGGGGATTTAGTAATTTGCCTGAGGTCACACTGCTGGGAAGGACAGAGAGAAACCAGGACTGCCTGACCTCAGAGCCTCCATCCCTAACCACCTCTAACCTTCTGTGAAAAACATCCTCTCGGGTGGGAGCTGATCACTTTCCTCCCCTACAATAGAAGAAACTGGGCATTCCGATCAGCGTTGTAGAGAAGGAGAATTAGCAGCCCTTGCTTGCTGGGAGGTGATGGTTTATCCTGCAACCCTGCTGGGTTTCCCAGAACCCTGAGTAAATATTTACATAATCTCGTTACACTGATCCCCAGCTTAAGACTGCAGGAAACATAGAACCAACCCAAGTTGGCAGACCTTTGTTGTTTGGATGTATTGTTTTTCAGGCCATGGCAGTCTTATACGTAGACTAATTCCTGTAGACGGTCCAGTACAGAGGACAAGGCTCTTGACTTGGAAACAGACTGAAGTTTTCATCACAATCTCACCGCTGCTGAGCTATGCCACTTTGGACAACTTGAGGCTCAGTGTTCCCATCTGTAAAATGGGCATAAAGTTTGTCCCAGTGTCATCATCATCACCCCTCATGGAGAACTTACAGGTATGCTTAACACTTACTTGTATCTTTGCATTAAATCCTCTCAAAAGGTCTTTGATTCAGTTACTATTTTTTATCTCTGTTTTACAGTTGAGGAAATAGAGACTCAGAGAAGTTAGGAAATTTGACCAAAGTCATAGATCTAGTAAGAGACAGAGCAGGGTCTGAAACCCAGATGGCTCGACACAAGATTTTTGCCCTTTACCTCTCTGCCTCATCTCCCCATGTACTCTTGTAATAAGTACTGTAAAGATTTCAATGAGATGGGACACGTGAACATGCCCACCTCAAAGGTCACCCTGTAGTAGCATCCTCTGGTCCACAAATCTCAGCCTGCAATCCTTACCAGTGCCTGGAAAGTCAAGAGAGGGGCTCAGGGTGAAAGTACCCTCTTCAGGGGAGCACCTCTTCCTTCCTAAGGTGGTAGGTAGGACTGCCCTCCAAGGTGGTAGCGAACAATGGGCCAGCCTCGTCCGGCACCTGTGAGCGTGGCGGTGCCTCAGGAATGGAGAGGACCAAGGAAAGAGCCTCTCACTGCAGAACAAAGCCAGGCAGCAACCTGGGCTGGGGCTAATTACAGGCCGGAGAGGCGGCACGAAGACCGAGGACTGGCTGGTTCACACACTGATGAATCACAGCCTCAGAGCCTTTGAGGTCTAGAACCCCCACCAGGCCACTGGGGACCCAACTAGGATTTCTAAAACAGAAGCCCAGACGTCCTACGCCTCATTCCAACTACCACACCTCATACCCTCTTGCCTTGCCAGCCTTCGTAAACCCATGCCTAGGCCTCCCAGGATGGCTCCGTCCAGCCCAAAATTCTCAAAAAGAGTGGGAGGAGAGTGGTAGAATTGTCAAATATACAAAAATCGGCCACCTGGTTAAAAAACGGAAGCCAGGCAGGCTCTTCATGTGGTCCTACAAAAGGGTGAAAAAAGGTCATTTTCCATCAATATAAAAAAAAAACCAAATCTCCCACTACCACATCCAGAGATATGGGGTGAGTCCTGCCAGGTCATGATAGAAGTTCTCCTCAGCACTGGGGTTTAGGGTCAGAGAGGCCTCAGTTTGTGTTCCAGATCTGTCACCTGTGGCTGTGTGACCTTGGCCAAGTGACTTGACCTCTCTGAGCCTCTACTTCTTCGTTTATTGGATGTGCACCATCAGAGTACTAACTCTGTAGGATAATTAAAGGAATTCAGTTAGGTAATACATGTAAAGGGCTACTTTTGTCAGTTGCTTGATTCATTATTCCTGTCATTCTGAATTCTACCTCTTCTTCCTCAAGCTTCTGTCTCACACAGTTTTCACTGATCACCACCTCCCCATAATCCACTGGACTTGAGGCCCTGTCCCTGCTTGAAGGAATTTTAGAACGAGGCCAGTTGAATTGGTAACCCAGCCCAAGTTGGCTGTAAGTATTTGGTTAACACAAGTGGGCCCCATGTTGTCAGTACTTGGGTCTGGAACTTTCCAATGGCTCCTTGCTTAGGTTTTAAAGGCTGGCAAGGCCACCGTCTACCCCTCCCCACTCTCATCCTTCTCTTCTTTCCACAGCACTACGTCACCTGCACACAGCACCAGGAGGTCATGGACTCTCTCCATGGAAATGTTCTTTGGTTACCTGGTGATGTGCATCTTGTAACACCGAAGTCTGGGATGCAACCAAGACAGGTGACCAG